AAATAAATCCTCATGACTTTACCAACGATTCGGAAAACAGCAAAAATCAATCAATATAGATCAATTTTTGTACACCATTTAAAACTTTAAATTTTCAGGTGATATATGCAGTCCGATCCGAGACCAATTTAACAATAATTTTAATTAAGAAATATGCGCAAAATGTATTAGAAATTAGTTTCAATACTATAATTATCAATTTAATTAAATAATCCAGTTCTTCAGTTAGTTATAGTTTGTTTTCTATTTTGAAAGGCCTCTAATCTATCCAGAAGTTCGCTTGATTGCCCAGTCTGCCCATTCTGCTAACTTGAATTTGCAGTAAGGAGATTCTAAATATTGAAGATCAGAGAGTTGTTCTGAGCTGGTAATTACAGTTCATTTCATATTTGCGAGTACATCTTTTGTATTCTTCTTTAATTTATTTTTCGGTTCGAGTCTTCACGAAGTCATTATGAATCGTGGTGGATTGAGCATCTCCAATATGAAGTCTACCACCGGCTATTTTAAATTAATATTCATGTTTATTTTTAGTTCATTTTTATATTTTATTGAATTTATATAACAAAATATATATTATTCAAAACTTGAACGTAGGCAAGCTTCTCGTAGTATAGTATAATATGCACACTAAGGTTTTTAAGTGAAACTATGGGGAAAGTGGAAAGAAAAGATGTCGGTACCAAAAATCAGTGGAAGAGTGCAGCATGTAGCCCTGATCGAGAGTCGCGGTAAATATGGTGCTGACCGACGTGAACCGTGATGAATGAGGAGAATTTCATCTATGGAATATACTGTAACTGAGATTGTAATACCATAGCGCTTTTTTTACTGGTGGTCCCCTTGGGTAGGTACCACCACCCTGCCTATTACTGCCGTGAAGCAGTGATGCGTTTCGGTTTGAAGGGTGGGGCAGCCGTTGTAACTATACTAAGACCTTAGAACTTATATCTCACGTCGTAGATGTCTATGGGCTCCAGTAAACACTTAACGCCAGGTGGGCTGTGGCCTCGTCCAACCAACTAAGCAATAAAAAAAATAAAAAAAGCGCTTAAAGAAACGGAAACAATTAATATTCTATACTTCACCTAAATATACTTCATCGACATACAATTTTAACAAAATAACAAAATGTACTTCAATATTTTGTTATTAAAAATTCTATTAGAGACTTAAGCGTTCTTCAACTTCGTTTAAAAATCAATTCTCAATTCAGGCTTAAGCTTAAAAGCATATTCTCATTCTAACGTTTTCACGAAAGCTTTAAGAATTCATGTGGAGCTTACTTATTTTCCTTCACAAAATGGCTACAAAGTACCTTAGGGCTTAATGTCATTTGGGCTAAGTATACCGATAATTATAGTTCGTTAATATACCGGTAGTTAGTCGGTTCCTTCGTGTGAATATTACGTTGCTAATTATTCAATTCCTTGCCATTTTTTACAACTTCGATCGTTGTCAAATGAAATTGATTAATTAATCAATAATCAGGCTACAGGTAGCTTATTTGCCTATTTCTGTCGTGAAGCAGTAATGCGTTTCGGTTTGAAGGTTTCGGAAAATCATGGCAGGAACTCTTTAAATAGTATGAATAGACTACAGTACTATATATTATATCCGCATTGTATTGTTTACAAATTAGTCATGCGTTGAATAGAGGAACAACATAAGGAATTCACATTCCGATAGAGGCACCCGTCACGTGCGGACGTGCTCATCGACCACTCGATCGCCCGGTCTTTGTTCGCCCGGCTTTTGTTAGCCCGGCCATTGTTCGCGCGGCCTGTGTTCGTGGTACATCTGCCGACTAAGTGCTCTTCCTGGAAGTTTTTATTTGTTTTGTTTCCTTTTGTTGTTTCTGTGTTCGTGGTACATCTGCCGACAAACTGTTTTCCTGGAAGTGTTTAATTGTTCTGTTTCTTTTCGTTATTTCCGTTTTGTTGTGTTTTTTCTTTGTCTTGTAGTAATCGTGCCGCATCGCCACCTGTGTTCAATAGAACCGCTCAGGTCCGAGAAGTTGGGGCCTCGCCGCAAGGCGAGTGTTTTCAAGACCCGGGGCCGCCCCACCTGGGNATTTTTGCGACGAGGACACGGCGCCACCCCTCCCATGCGGGGCAGGCGACGAGCGTATGCTCTGCCGTGTCCAAGTCGCAACCACAATGGTGGCACTCTGCCGTCGGCTCGGCTGTGATCCGGTGCAGGAACTCACCGAAACAACCATGCCCAGTGAGCACCTGCGTGAGCCGGAAAGTGAGGCGTCCTCTGTCACGATTCACCCAATCCACAAGGACCGGGCGAATCGCCTCGACGGTCCTACGACCAGCCGAAGGATCAGCCAGCCGTCTGGACCATGACTCCAGCAAATAAATGCGTAGCAAGAAATTATGACGGAAATCATTTTGAGTTTGATTGAGTGCTTGAGTGTTATAAAAATGATTTTTTTGTTGTAATCCGTCATTCGCAACAGCTTTAACTATTGCAATTTAGTTACTTATTTCCTTTATGGGCAATAACATACGACTCATCTGATGGTAACTTGTCGCTTGTGGATATCAACAATGCCAGGGGCACAACCAAACTGCTGCCTATTTACATGTTACACTTCATCTTAGACTCTGATTACACAAAAATTCATCTTATACTACAAAAAAGTTAAAGTATTTTATGAAACTAGCGCCATTTTCAAATACGTTTTAAACAAAACCCATTGTTTTCCATACACAGCGATTCGAAAAACTTAATTTGCTTTTTCGCGTTTTAAATTGTTGGCTTTTTAAAACAAATGACCGGAACGTACCTACATGGAAATTTGTTCATAGACTAACCAAAGCCGGCGAGTGCATTCGTGCTAAAATTCTGAATTTTATATTTTTAACGGCAAAGTAAAACTTAAATGGTCTTTAATATCTTAAAGCGCTTTTTAAAGCTCTGCTATAATCTAGTGTTTGTTTTATTTATGTTAATAAAATATTTTGTTGTTGTTATTTTGACGTGACAACGTCTTATAATTCGATGGAGCCGGCTGCACGCACGAAAAAACATGACTCATTGAGGCGTTCCATTTAAGGCTTGAAGTGCAAGCGAGAGCGCGCAACGAGCGACAAAGAGGCACAATCGGCCTCCGCGTTCGGCAGCGTTCGACATCTGTCTCTCTCCTGCTTGATTGAGCGATGCATCCGCGTGGACAGCTGCTATACAATAATACATTTACATGTTTTCGTCAAGTATGAAGTTCAGTGAAAAGTGAATGTGGTGTCAATTTTCTATACAAAATATCTATCATACAAATAAAATTAAAATTTTCTTTTGAAAAATTAATCCATTCCATCAGTATTTTCTTATGACGTTGTCACGTTCAACCATCGTCAGTAAACCGACTTTACAGACAACCGATTTTTTTCTTGGTCTGTTTTCAGAACAGCTGCTTAATAAATAAAAACCTATCGAAATCGTTTATTTGTTCAGCGTAATTCCACCACTATGGTACTGAGCATAACAGACTGATTCTCATTACACTAACGTGTTGACTAGATTGCTGTTACAGTCGGACTTATCTTATATGAACCTATTTCAATAATAATGGGATAGTGACGATAGCACTTTGAATCGACGTTGCCGGAGTGTTATTGCGACGTATAAAGTTATGCTTGTGTTTGTGTGTCCCTACATTTTAACTAAGAGTTAGTACTGTTTTACAATCAGGACGTTCGTACCACATTGTTTCTTTATGTGGCCAAACGTTACGTTCCATGTTTTCCGGCTTGGAGGTTGAGACAGCCGGGATAAAATACGACGAAGACTTTCTCCTCATGTAAGCAATAAGGTATTTTATGGTTAATTAATAAACCAAAATTTTAAATGTACAAAATTTCGACGTTACCTTTTCTGTATTGATTGTATTTATTCGTAAATCGCTTCGAATCGGTTTACGGTTGAATGGTTTGCGGTGTAACATAGATACGGAGCTCGCGATTCCTACATACCGCGGACATATGTACGTGACAGAGGTGAATCAATAAAATTCGTTGTTTTTGGACTTTTATTTAATTCGACACTGATTTCAAGTCACCATTAGTTTATTTTAATACATTCATGTCATTCTTAATAAGTAAATTGAATCAAATTTTTGATGTGTGAATTATGTTATAGTCATTATGTTATATTTCGATTTGAACAAAATAGTTGTTTAATAAGTCTGCATTTAATAATAAGTCAACTTATTGCAAGCACTAATGCGTTTGTTGGTTCGTCTGTTTGTTGTTTTATTTATTTCATTTTATATAATTTGGTACATCTGCGAATTCAAATCCTGTGATGTTCACGAATCGATAGAAATCTGAACTGAGTACGTTAGAAAGATGGTCATTTTTACGATTAACGATTTAAATAAATTGCTAATTTAAATAAATAAATTGAGGATCTGCATTCAATACAACACATTCCCGTAATCGATTATTGGGAAGAATATATTCGAATATCTAGTTTGAAACTTAAAATTTCCTCGTAACTTTGTTTTCTTAACAATTAATTCTCTCTGGCTGTCCGGGGTCTGAAGAGGAAAATTCTCGGCTAGGACACACATAAAATTTAATTGCACCCTCAAAGCAGGGATTTGGTCACGATTCCCGCATTTATTTTAAGCGAAAGGAGGGCGTTTAGTTTAAATTACGACCGGAAAATTAAGTTTTATTGGGCTTTACAATTGAATCAGCTCTCTAATCCGAGCATCGGTCTGCTTACTTCTTTTCTCGTGAAATTTTGATGTACATTGAGCGCTTAGTTTCCGATTGTATCGTTGCAATTTCGAACTTTCAAAACTCTTTAAAGAACCTTCTCATAATGATTGACTCCTCCTCCATTTGACTCTATACAGAGGAGGGCCGTTCGGATTGTCGATAATCCCATTCTCACGCATCGTTTGGAGCCCCTGGTCTGCGGAGGGACTTCGGTTCCCTCTGTATTTTGTACCGTATGTTCCATGGGGAATGCTCTCACTTTACCGCGGCTACTGTGTCAGCTCGCGATGTGGCACTGCGTCAGAAACAAACACTTCACTGCGCTTCGAGCAGTGTGCCAATCGTTGGGGGGAAAAGTATGCGTTCCGACTCTCGCTTCAAAAGCTCCAGTACTGCAGATCGTTTGCCCAGGAGTTTGCAAGGAAAAATACACAGGAACCGATGGATGAACCGCAAAAGATATTCCTATCTGTCGTTTGCGCCTTATTGTTCTTCAATTTCATAGGAACTGCTTATGACTTGCTACTTGGCGACGAAAGAAAAAGTAGGTATTATCTATTTTAGTTTTCATAAATATTATATTTTCTATTGATCTTATTATTGTTGCCCTTGTAAGCAGATTCGAGAATACGGCCCACCTGATGGTGAGTGGTTATCATCGTTCACGGACGTCGACAACGNCTGCTTATGACTTGCTACTTGGCGACGAAAGAAAAAGTAGGTATTATCTATTTTAGTTTTCATAAATATTATATTTTCTATTGATCTTATTATTGTTGCCCTTGTAAGCAGATTCGAGAATACGGCCCACCTGATGGTGAGTGGTTATCATCGTTCACGGACGTCGACAACGTCAGGGGCTCAGCCAAGCCTGGACTACAGCTGGACTACCAGTCAGACCACTCAGACACATATACCTGATAACATATGACTAAAAGTTTTCATACTTTGCGAGTTGGAAGAATAACACCCGGATTATTTAGCAAAAATCGTGAGAACATGTAATTTCGAAAGTTGCAACCAGCGAATTAAGGAGTATGTAATGTACAACAATAGTATTGTCTATTCTCCAACTTCACCTCATAATAGCAGAAAACTTTGAAACACGAAGGGAAGAGCTGGTGTTACCGGAGACATATGGTCTAGCATGGAAGACCTTCGTATTGAATAAAAGGATTGTGCATCACACAATAAAGGCACACCGGTGTGCATAATATATGTAAAGTAAAGCTGGTCTAGCTTGCAACTGAAACCAAAGCGTCTGTTTATTTCCAGAGAGCAAACACTTAGTGTCGTGGTCCTTGCGCTCTAATTGGAATCGTCTGATAGCTACCTATGAGGATGGCGACCCACGGCTCTCGGCTCTTAACCCTGTCCAGGGTGTGAGGTAAAATTACACTTTATTGTATTAATCATATTCCTTTTGTATTCCTTCGGTTGTTGTAACTGTAAGCATTGTTTGAATCTGCAACAGATGGGACATTTTGCAATTGCGTTGTTGTTGGTTAAGCGTTTCATCACAGTACATTAAACCAACAAATATTTTATTATTCCAGGGTGTTCCTGATATCTCTGACAATACTGACCCACAGCGGCGTTATACGTGGCTCCTTTTATGTATTCAACCCTCGATTTATTGAGGAGGTACGTCAGAAAATTTTCGTTTCCATCATGTTCAAAAAAAGACTTGGAAAAAGTCTTAAAGAAGGCAATGGCTTTATTTTCTGCTCCACGCAATCCTTGCATGGCTGGCGTGCATGCAAGAATTGCGTGGGGTACCGCCATTCCCCTTCATATTGGGGATCGATGCTTCAATCCTATCATCGACAAATGTTAGTCAAGAAGGAAACAACATTGAAACGAACAAGATTGAGATTAAGAAGATTTGGAGGATTTGAAACAAAAAGTCTGTTGTTGTTTGATTAAAATTTAATTGCACCCTCAAAGCAGGGATTTGGTCACGATTCCCGCATTTATTTTAAGCGAAAGGAGGGCGTTTAGTTTAAATTACGACCGGAAAATTAAGTTTTATTGGGCTTTACAATTGAATCAGCTCTCTAATCCGAGCATCGGTCTGCTTACTTCTTTTCTCGTGAAATTTTGATGTACATTGAGCGCTTAGTTTCCGATTGTATCGTTGCAATTTCGAACTTTCAAAACTCTTTAAAGAACCTTCTCATAATGATTGACTCCTCCTCCATTTGACTCTATACAGAGGAGGGCCGTTCGGATTGTCGATAATCCCATTCTCACGCATCGTTTGGAGCCCCTGGTCTGCGGAGGGACTTCGGTTCCCTCTGTATTTTGTACCGTATGTTCCATGGGGAATGCTCTCAGGAATTGTTCGAGATGATACCGGCATCTCGTTTTTACTATCGCACCGCCCGCCACCGGAGTAGAGTTCATCCATACTACCTGGAGCCACTGCGGTCATCCACAATGCGTTTCCAGAGGTCTTTTTGGCCACGTACCATCCAGCTTTGGAATGAGCTCCCCTCCACGGTGTTTCCCGAGCGCTGTGACATGTCCTTCTTTAAACGAGGCTTGTGAAGAGTATTAAGCGGTAGGCAGCGGCTTGGGTCTGCCCCTGGCATTGCTGAAGTCCATGGGCGACGGTAACCACTCACCATCAGGTAGACCGTATGCTCGTCTGCCTACAAGCGCAATAAAAAAAAAAGAAAAAAAGTGTATTGAAAATGAAATGTAATGGGCTTGTTTTTGAATTATAAAAAAGCAGTCGAATTCGTAGGGTCAAGTAGTATAGCGAGTTGATATTCTGTGTATGTGAAGGCAAACTTCCTCGTAGGTTCAAATACGAGAAAATCACTGAAAGGGCACTTTTCGAAACGTTAAGCCTTTGAAGTGGAGACAGGCTTTATCGCACATTTTATCACGGACTTAAGTAAATAAAATCACGTAGGATCCTTTGAATGTGTATGTGCTTAGGGTACGTATGAATTTTACAGAATATACATACGTACATTTGATTTTTTATTTATTCATTACACTTAATGCACATTATGGACATTGGCAAAATTAGTGTCTAAGGATTTCTCTAGCAGCCAATCAAGGGTGACGCAGAAAGTAATAGTATAATAATACATAAGAAGTAAATAGTGTAATAAATAATATATTATTATATTTGAAACAGAAAAGTACAGTGGGTAGATCTCACAGACACTACAAGATATTTGACAGAGGCCTGAATCTCGCAAATTATTTTTTCAAGATAAATTTGCATGTATACAACACCATTTGAATCGTAAGTGGCCCCAGCAGAAGACGTGCATAAAGAAGAGAGAAGAAAGAAGAAGAGAAGAAGGAAGAGAGAACAAGGGAAGGCAAAACTTTTTATAGCCTTTGTAAATTGTAGCATAGACGAGTATATGGCCCACCTGATGGTCAGTGGTTACCGTCGCCCATGGACTTCATTGATGCAAGGGGCAGAGCCAAGCCGCTTCCTACCGAGCCAAGACACTGCTTACCTCAATCCAAAACACATTCCAGCACATATGACTCATCCGAGCAATTTAATCACCCCTGTCTTGTTAGGCAGTGAGCCCACATTTAAGGGAGGGGGTTACCCCGAGGCCTGATCTGCGCCCCCGTAAGGGGTCGCGAGGACCCGACAAAGATTTGAACCGTCAGTCTACCGAGCACCTTCCCCCGCTTGATCGAAGACCTTGTCCTTGTCGCTAATTCCCTAAAAGGTATAAAAAAGATAAATTTGATAATTATATTTAATACATACCTAAACATATAAATTCTATACTACGATATTAAGTTCGAGAGGATTATACCCATTTACTGAATATGATTTGCAGAACTCTAAATTGAACCACAGAACGATCAGTGATTTTCCTAATTAAAAATACAATCACTACACAGGGGGGTCGCGGGTTCGAATCCCGCTAAGGGAGGATATCTGTATGATAAATATAAATGTATTTTCCAGGGTTATGGATGTATCTTAAATATATGTATGTGTATAATAAAAATCTTACATTTATTTCCGTTATCTGGTACCTGTAACACAAGCTCTTTACGAACTTACCACGGGTCCAGTTAACGTGGCGTGATTGTTAGTAAATATTATTATTAATTATTTATTTATTTATATTAAGCGCGTGTTCACGCGAACACATTACAGTTTTCATGGTCACGCATGACTAAAATATTACTCGTCAACATTTTAATGTTTGTATTAACTACGGTAGCTCTGGTAGCTCAGATTAAGCCGTAATAGTCGTTTTAATTATATCTCCAACTCGTGAAAACCGACGAAAATCCTATAAGAGATTGCTCTGATTGCAAGTGGGCGTCCTTTCCAGAGAAAAATAGATTGTATGAGGAAAAAAAATTAATATTTTTTATTTTTTTATTGCTTACATGGGTGTATGAGCTCACAGCCCACCTGGTGTTAAGTGGTTACTGAAGCCCATAGACATCTACAACGTAAATGCGCCACCCACTTGGAGATATAAGTTCTAAGGTCTCAGTATAGTTAAACGGCTGCCCCGCCCTTCAAACCGAAACGCATTACTGCTTCACGGCAGAAATAGACAGGGTGGTGGTACCTAGCCGCGCGGACTCAGAAGACGTCCTACCACCAGTGAGATAGCCCGAAACATGTTACGGCTAATGATGTAAAACATTCTAGTGCTTCTTCGGTAGCTTTTGTTGTATTTTACTGGAACTAAGAGTTTGAAATGTGGACTCTTAATTTAAACTAGTGGCCTCGCGGTAGTCGAAATTCGACTTTAGTTAATTGAAATTTTATGCTTAAACATTATTATGGTTCTATTGTCAAACACTATTTTATTTCTATAATATAATCACAGATTTCGCCAAAACTACACTATAGATAAATACTCTTAAAGACAAACAATATTGATCTATTCTCAATAACAAAAGTTTGACAATTGACTATAAACAAAGACTATATTTATATGTATGTGTTGTGTCAAATACATGGCGGTGTGTGTAATGTTTTTATTATTAATGTATTTTTTATGCATAATTAAAAAAAAATTATGATTCTGCACTCCTTCTCTATATTCTCTATAAGTGTGGGAAATTTCATACTCCTCCGTCCGCGCAATTTTCGTAAAAAGTGGTACAAAGTTTTTGCTTCACGTGGCTTCGCTCGGGTCTTTCACAAAAATATCAACGATATTTGACGTTGTTTTATTTTTTTAAATAAAAAACACTTATTACGGCATAACTATAATAGTTAGACATGCTGTCGCGACAATTTTTGTAAACAATAATGTGTTCTACAAAGTCGTAGTACATTATTTTATTCTACCATCAATAGTTTTTACAGGGCACGTGATGTAAAGAATATTTTAGGTAATTTTTTAATACCTTGGGTTACATTATTGAAGTTTTAGTAAGGATCCCTAATTTGTTTTCAAAACAGATTATATATAGCCTATGTCACTCGGGAATAGTGTAGCATCCAAACAGTGAAAAAATTTTTCAAATCGGTCCAGTAGTTTCGGAGCCTATTCAATACAAACAAACAAACAAATCTTTCCTCTTTATAATATTAGTATAGATAGATAAACGACATCGCAGCACACCGTGTGCAAACTATATACGTCAAATATAGCTATACTTCGTAGCTAAAATATAATTGTTGCTTGAATCAACATTACTAATGTAATACGTTGTACCTACGGCTTTTTTTCACTCCCAGACGCATCGCATATCCGTCCTCTGAATAAATGATGATAAAAGAGATTTTTATTTTCCGCCTAAAACAGTCGTTGGTCTACCTGCGGGATTAAGTTTTTATTATTCAACGTATAAACTCGCCTACGTAGCTGGACATTGAAATATACTTGTTTACTTGTGAGTCCGCACGGGTAGGTACCACAATCCTGCCTATTTCTGCCGTGAAGCAGTAATGCGTTTCGGTTTGAAGGGTGGGGCAGCCGTTGTAACTATACGGAGACCTTAGAACTTATATCTAAAAGTGGGTGGCGCCAATACGTTGTAAATGCTAATGGGTTTCGGTAAACACTTAACACCAGGTGGGCTGTGAGCTCGGCCACCCATCTATGCAATAAAATAAAAATAAAAATGTAGAAGAAAATACCTAGCCTTGTGTAACACTATCTTTAATGGCCTTGATTAGGGAGCAATCGCCGGGGACAATGGATTTGAAGGATCGTCCACTTAAAACGCGATATAGCAGTTATGCTGGACTTAATAAAGTCATTGTGTAATATTTGACTGTATGAATATCTCAGGGTATAAGGTTGAAGATTGCTGTGTCAAACACAACCATGTCTATTAGGCAATTTGGGTGAGTTCTAGCTTCACTGAACCAAAATATTACGAAGCATGCCTGTGTAAAACACAGAAAGACTGGCTAATTAACTACAATCTGTTTTTCTATGTCGTCATATTGTTATACTAAAATTATCTGCTATTTATAGCGGATGCGAATTTTGACATAAATAAAAAACCCAACGAGTTCGACTTTCGCATATTTTTCCTTATTTCGCGAAACAAAAAAGGAATATTAAACTATATAATAGCCGATGTCAGAAACATCTGAGGCTTGAATTTCCGAAACGCCCGAAGCGAGGCAACTTGTTAATGAATACACGTATTGTACGAATTCACTTGTTTGCACCGCGTTATAGTTTTGTTTGAAGTTTAGAACAAATACTGACTCGCTTTCGGTGCTCTTAAACATTTTATAATTCACGGTTGGTAAGCCTCAGGAGATTTATTTAATTTATGTCAATACGGATAAGCATTTTTTTTATTGCTTAGATGAGTAGACGAGCTCACAGAGTGGTTACTGGAGCCCTGGTTACTGCGTATCAGGTTAAACAAAAAATACTTAAATTGTGTAATAAAATGAAACCCGCAAAATTATAATTTGCGTAATTACTGGTGGTAGGACCTCTTGTGAGTCGGTGCGGGTGGGTACCACCACCCTGCCTATTTCTGCCGTGAAGCAGTAATGCGTTTCGGTTTGAAGGGTGGGGCAGCCGCTGTAACTATACTTGAGACCTTAGAACTTATATCTCAAGGTGGGTGGCGCATTTACGTTGTAGATGTCTATGCGCTCCAGTAACCAACTTAACACCAGGTGGGCTGTGAGCTCGTCCACCCATCTAAGCAATAAAAAAATTTAATTAGATTACATACTAGATCCAGAGGCTATTGAACTTCTTGGAAAAGATTAGTACTGCAATTCATTTCAACTAAAATGTTAAATTGTGTAGAATATCGTCTATGATCTGGGTTGTTGGGTGAGCTTATAGATCAGCTAATGTTAAATAGATACTGGACTCCGTTAATACAGTAACGTGAAATTTATAATGGTTCATGACTCGTATTACTGGTGGTAGGACCTCTTGTGAGTCCGCGCGGGTAGGTACCACCACCCCGCCTGTTTCTGCCGTGAAGCAATAATGCGTTTCGGTTCGAAGGATGGGGCAGCCGTTGTACTGCTAAAACTGAGACCGTATAACTCATGTCTCGAGGTGGGTGGCGGCAATTATGTTGTAGATGTCTATGGGCTCGGGTTACCACTTAACACCAGATGGGCCGTAAGCTCGTCGACCCATTTAAGCTATAAAAAAGGGGAATTCAAGTCGTTTTTGCGAACCATTTCATGTCCTAAATTTCATGCTGCATGTATTGCGTGTTAAAAATACTTTGTGCTTTATTTATATAACGATAAATCAATCACAATGAACTGGGCTAGGTATTGTTGGAGGACACCTTTTATCTCAAGTAGTGAAAATAAAAATGAAAGTCTAACTAGCAGCTCACATTAATTTGGAGTGAGCACTAATGTAAACTTCAAAAGAGAGTATTTGTTTTATGTGTTTTAGGCGGGTCGCAGTGTGGTCAGCGTAAGTTTAATGTTACATATAGATTAAAGTCAGATAAGTTCACGAAAAATTATGAATTACATAATATAAGTCACATTTTAACTACAGCCGATGAAATGTGATCTGTTTAAAATACATAAAGGTTAATAAATTTAGAAAACAAAAAAAAACTAAAACTTAGTATACCATTCGCAATACGCTTCTTTCGACGAGCAATTTTTATGTAAGGCAAATTAGTTGTACAAATAGCAGTAGAATTACAAATGTAACAAAAAAAACTCTTCTTTTTCTCCACTTTATCCCACTAGGTGGGGTCGGCCCAGCTAATTTTTCTTTCATTCTCTTCTATCAGCCGTCAGCTCAACACTCACTCGTCTCTCTCTCATATCCTCATTCACACACTCCATGTCTTCTTCGGTCGACCTCTGCGCCCTCTACCTTGCACTATCATTTCCATACATCTCCTAGTCACATGCATCTTCTCTCTACGCATCACATGTACATATCACGCTAATCGTCCGCTCTTTAATTTGTTGATTACCGGGGCTACTTTCACACTTCCTCTGAAGTAACAAAAAAATATTAAAAAAAAATTAAATTATAAACACTTTTGGGTTGGACGTCTATATTCAATATTAATAGGAAGTAAAATATCAATCATACCTGAAAAATAATATAAAAAAAGAAGGAAAATACTCGACGAAAAAATGTTTGTATTTCTAAGTACATAGTTTTGAAGTATTTTGTCGAACAACCTGCGTAGAAACGGAATGTTAATAAGAACACAAAAAAGACAATTTACGTTTTACTGGCGTACACTTTTACGATCAGAGTACG